CGTGTGCTCTCCCGATCTCCCCAAAACCCCAAAACCCCTTAAGGAGATTATTGAATGCAGTTTTTTTAATGAATCTAATATCTTGTAGAAGACAGATTCATTAATAGAATTAAAAATATATCTACTTTAGTAAATTAGTTGTTTTCAATAAAAAGTAGGCTTGAATAGCATACTTTTACCGAACCAGAGTCCTTTTGGTCCTAGGTTAAAGTAAACTCTGGGGAACACCTCTTTTTTCAAAAAGTAGAATAGCTTATTAGGCTCTGTCTATCCACTGTAGAAAGTTTCTGATGGCTGGTTTTCATATTTGAATTCAATAAGCATGAGCTTGTTGTCACCAACAAAAACTGGGCAGCTGCTGTAACCATCATAATGGCCATTCATGTATTTCTTATCCATTTATCTTAGAATGTTTTGGACAACAATTGGAGCCTAAGAAAATACTCCGGCAGCAGTCTTAGCTGTAGGTAAGTTAGCCACATCTCCAAGTGCGTAAATATTTTCTGCTTTGTTGTGTCTTAATGTTTGAGCATCAACATCAACGAATCCATTTGGGGCAGGAAGGCCACTGTTAAGTATGAATTCAGGTGGAGTTTGAGGAGGAACTAAGTGCAAGAAATCATAATCTTGGGTTATCACCTCCTTTGTCTTGTTGTCTCTGAAGTAAACCTTCCTAGAATCTTTATCTACCTTAAAAATAGTTTATCCAAAGTGAGATTCAATATCTTTTGAATCTTTAATTGTTGAGAGCTTATCTGCATACTTGGCACAGTTAGGGAACATATTGCCTGCTGATGAGTAAAAATGAACCTCAGAGTTGTGTCTTACACCATTGCGTCTGAAAGTCTCTTCTGATAGGTACATCATTTTTTATGGAGCTCCACCGCACTTGATTGGCATCTAAGGAAGTGTAAAAATAGCTTTGCCGCCCTTAAAGTTTTCTCTGAGGAGTGAGGCTTTGAGAGCATAATCATATCTATAAATTGAGCCGACTGGAGAATTTGGATCATCTAGAGCCTCCTTTGAACCCTCGATCTTGTCAAATCTTAAGGATACTCCTGGGCAAACAACTAAATAGTTATAAGTGATTCTTCCCCCCTTCTCTGTTTCAATTGCACTATTATCTGAATCAATCTTAACTACTGAATCTTGCTTCAATTAGACACCTTTCATTACCATTTTCTACATTGGTCTAGCCACATATGTATTTAGCTTTTTTTAGACTTGCTGACTATAATATAATTAAATATCTTCTTTGGCAGTTTAAATAATATCCAAGAATAAATAATCTTACTTGGAACCAAGCACACCTCCACCGATCATTGTAAAAGAGGGTTGATAGTAATGTGTCTATGCTGGATCAATGATTACAATCTCATTATCTTTGAATCTTCTTGTTCTGTAGAGTTGAGCTGCAACAGCTTATCCAGCGGAGCCACCACCGATAATGCAAATCTAAAAATGAATGAATATATTGTTGAATTTTTACTCTGGAGTGTTAGGTTGAAAAGTTAGAAACAGATTAGAATGTGAGGGAATTAAACTTCTTATTAAAGACTTTGGATAGCATATTTTTAATATATGTATTATTTATTTTCCAAACCCTAACATTTTTAATCGTAAGTACCATGGGGTTTTGGGGTTTTGGGGTTTTGGGGTTTTGGGG